CCGGCCAACTGCCAGGCCTGACACCAATGTGTGCTCAAGTGCGAGGCAAGGTGGACACAACTCAAGTGCTCTTCGGGAGGATGGTTCGCTTGCCACATCTTCCCACCCAAGCCCTTTGATTCAAAGGTGGTTATTTCATCACTGCTCCTGGCCACCTGGCCATAGCAAGTTCGTCACCCTCAGGTATTTCGAGGTGATCGGGAGTCACGATCGGCCATCGCAGCTCAGCATCTTCATCAAGGCATGCCATAACTGATAGGCTGGCCATGGGGAGATTCTCGAGCCTGCGATGCATTTGGGACGCGGAGGATACCAGTACTAGCCAGTACTCCAACTATCTAGGGCCCTAGGGGCTCCAGACTCCAGACTCAAACAGTCGTTAGACTCTGCCACCTCCTAAACACCGAACCTCAGGCACTTGAAGCCCAAGTGCCCCAGTGTTTGATCCTGCCCTGAAAGAATCCGCAGAGCCCTGCGATAGATTCAGGGCCGAAAGGCGTTTACGAACTCTGAGCCGGTCAGTAGAGCTGATTTGTATCCGTTCACCTGGTGGTACCTGAACCTTCATTTTTGTGCTTCTCTCATCGCCCCCCTCAACTTTAGAGCCTGAGTGATTGTACATGTAGGTGGTTTCACCATGTGTCACCACCTTTAGAGGTCTTTTGATGTTTACAATCTTGCCCATCTTTGGGTAATAATTACAAAAAACTCATGAGTAATACATGTAATACAGTAATACTGCAATACATGAAAATAAAAAAAGAACCGTGTCAGGTCTACAATCGTTTCATGGGTAATACAAAATCTAATGAAAACAAAAACTGATGTTCTGATTTCTTTCCGTTTGATATCTCTGGTCCCACTGGCATCTCAACAGTCTCTGGAAATCTCTGGAACAAGCGATCAACTGGTGATGCACAAATGACACCAACTCGTTCCATCTCGCCACTGGCAGGTAATGATGGTTCTTGGATGTACGAAAAACAATATCATTCTGGCACGCACTTGTTGTACCCCTTTCAAGTACAACATGATTGATTCTACTTCCAAAAAATCCTCGCAACATCTCATGTAGGGTGAAAACATGGCATGTCGACTTATGCTGGGTATGAACCTCGAAGTAGCAGGAAGGTCTGGAAAGAACACCGAACTCATTGGAACTCATAGTAATTCACCACAGTCCTACCACAAACCCTGCCAAACACTATATATTCCTTTCGTCAAGTCGGCGTATAAAATATGTCAAGGACCACATAGGGAGCACCAACGAAGTCTGGTATTGTCATTAGTTGTTCTGCATAGCTTCAGTGTGACCAGCACCAAAAATGGTTTTAATGAGTATGAGTTGGTCAGCATATATGAGTTTGAGGGTTCCTGTCCCCATGTGCATCATCTAGACCTAAAAGGACAACAAAACACCAAAAGTTGATCCTCGCCTTCGCTGGATCCCTCAAAGTCACCGTGATCCTCATCAGGGTCGGTGATCCAAACCACTTCCTCAGAAAGCGCAGTGGACCTCTCCCACCCTAGTAGCTTCTTGCTCCTAGTAGCGAAGCCCTTTGTTCCTCATAGCGATGCCCTTGCTCCTAATAGCTTCTTGCTCCTATGGGTGTGCAATGGGTATATTCATAATACCAGGCCCAGTGGATGATGATGGCATCTAAAAGTTGGCATCTCAAAAAATAGTGATCCTATGGTGATCCTCCTTTACTGACCGGTACTGGTTAGTAATGGGACACACCCTAGGTTTGTGTGTAAACAGGAAGACCGCTGGCCCAATGGAGGTTTGGTCTATTGTTCTTCTTCGGGAAATCGAACTGGGGGAGTCTTTGGGGGGTCTCCCACTTCTACCAATTATAGAAAAATCTTAAAATCCTGAGCTTCTGCCAAAGGGAGTCGTCTTATACCTAGCCACGTCGAAAAAATGGTGCACAAATAGGGAATGGCAGGAGAATCGATTGATTTGCCCGAGGTGCATGGATACAAGGAGCACCGAACGTTCAGAAAATTACACCAACTTGGTGATACCATTTCTCTCGAAGCATTTTGGTCCAAGAAAGGGCACCGGAGAGAAATAGAATACCTGAAGCGATTTGTCACTATGTCCAGCCCAAGTGCTCTTTTCCACCGATGGCACGGCACTGTGTTCTGTTATAAAAGTTCACCATGGATTGGAATCAAAAACTCTCCAAGAACTCTTCAAGTGCGGTCTACAACTCGCTAAATGCAATGGCTGGGTCAGTGCCCATTTCTTCCTTGCCGTCCCAGCGGCACTGTCATCCTGCCAGTTGCGCGTTGAGATGACTCCGTGCTCGGTAAACATGCCCCAGTGCATCGCTACGTGAGCGACGGCCGGTAGAGCAAAGCCGTACCTCCAAACCAAACACGCAAGCAAGCTTGGGTGATTCAGTGATGAATAAAGAAACCTCCTTGGATTGTAAAACCTCTGGGGGGTGAAATATCATCAACAGCTCGGTGAAACTCCGTTCAGTTTGCTAACGGATTGAGTCCGGTTGAACAAAAGTCGGGGATCCCATGGAGCTCAGGTGAAAATACGGCGCTTTCCCTCTCCAAAAGGCCGCGTGTTTGGTGGCCTTGTGTGCCACATGAGAATCATGAGAGGATGTTCGGGAGACCCCGTGTCCTCGCCTCATGCTCCCTCACTGTCTTTCGGCTCTCTCACGCTGTTTAGCTCTTGTTCGGAGAAAAAAACGCTCCAAACACTTAATTAAGAATATGCCTTGGTGACGTCTGCTCCGGGGATCGTTTGGTGCTCCGATGGCATCGTCCGTCCCGCCTTTCGGAGGAAAAAAACGAAACCGACCGAGGGTCGTTCGGTAAAAACAAGAGAACTGGAACTTCTATGCTCATACATGTTCAATCATTTTCAGAAATTTCAGCGAACCTGTACCCAGTTGGGTGGGTGTCTTTGTTCGAAGACAGTAATGCTTGGGATCATTTGCGAGCCAATCTAGAATTGCATCTGCTTATTATTGGCTCAAAAATAGGGAATGTCATCGCTTTGAGATCATCCCTTTTCAGGAAGGTGTTCCCACCCAATCCATCTTTCGCTGGCTCACAAGGGCTCAATCCGTTGCTTGAACTGCTTTTGCCACCAGCGGCAGGTGCATTGCAGCACCAGGAGGTCCAGGCACTGCTCATCCGAGGCCTTTCCAATTCAAGTTCTGAAAGACTTGCTAAGAATCTGTCTTCTGTGTGAAAATGATTTTAACATCTAAAAATTGCACTCCCTCAAACTAACATGGAAGTGGAGAATGGCCTCTTGGAAGACCATCTTCCTCTACAAACAGTGTGCTTTCCGCTTCCATGTTAGTTTTCGGGAGTGTAAGTGGACCTCCCCGACTCCCAGACTGGTCATTTGGATTGGGACCAAAGGCACTCTCAGACTGGTCATATGCAGACTGGTCACTCCCGGAGAGATGAATCTGGTGGTGTGCTTTCAACATCTTGCTTATGCAAAGCCATCCTTGTTGGCAACACCTCCACCAAAAGAACTAGCAAGCCACAGCAAAGCTACACAAAAACTATGCATCTAGTATCATCTAGTGACTCTAGTGTTTGCCGGCAGGGACCACCAGTCATTTCAATCAAAGCTGACTGGATTCATCCCATAAATGTCAAACCTGATGGCTCCAAATCCATCATGATCCATCTCCCGATCTGAAAAAATAAGAAAGACCAAAATTGATGGACTCCAACGGACTCCAAGAGGCGCAACAATGCTCGAAGATGAGCATTCGCAGGGTTTGATGTTCCAACGTCAACGTCATGGCGGATCGACCGAGATCTCGGACCTAGCGAGGAGTACGGAAGATCTAAGATGACCACGTCTGGGTCGGAACATGATTGGCATGAACATGCGTTGCATCCGTGTTTCTGAAGGATTCAGCTAATTCCGGAAACTTGGCATCTAGCTTCCTGAAACCCATCAACTCTCAATCCAAATGCTCCGGCTCCGGTGGCACCACCATATTACTATACCATACTTCTCCCGCACTGTCACTGACCTTGTAACCCAACTGCGTTCTTTGAGACCTGGACCCCGAGGTTCTCATGTAGCGATCTCTCCGACTGGCGACTGACTTCGATGCCTCTGATTTGGTGTGGTCATTCGTGTTGAGAATGGTCCGGTTAGTCTGATGAATTGATGCTAAATGCTAAACGACAGCAAGTCTGTGTATTGACGCTGGCCATCGATGGAGCCAGAAAGAGCACGGTGCGACACGGAGCTGGTGCGCACACAACGTAAGTTGAATGGTCCATGGGAGCTGGATGGTCCGTGGCGAAACAGGAGTTTGGCCAGCTCAACTCGGCCAGATTGTTGAACTTTGAAGGGTATCACCAGCACAAACTCTCTCAAGCTGTGAGATGCCAAGAGATTCCTCTACCCTCCTATTTTGTATCTTCAGTGTCCTACACACATGCCACTTAATGCCATTTTGCCTGGCTCTTGACTCTTCAACATCTGAAAACAAATTCCGTACCCTGGGGGAGATGTCCAGTGAACATGGACCTAAATCTTCCAGTCCAAAAACGCCATATGGCGATTCAATGCTCTTCCAGAAGCTGAACACTAGGAAAGTCTATGTGGCAAGGTCTAGTCAGGTGCCCAAGAAGTTGACCAGCACATCATCATCACGACATGTCACGATGCCATACGATGCCCAACATTGGTGTCCTTTTGGGGTGCATCATCCTTTGCAGGGAGCTAAGCCGCTTGGGAATGTTATAAACGAAGAACTGTATTGGCTGCACCCTACTGATGGTGTGACTGCATTACCCTGCATACCCTTTTCATCCCTTTTCCCTGTTGACATGGTGGCCATCTACTTATTATCCACCTTTGAGCTTTCTCCACGTGATGACAGGATAGAAGAATGGTTTGAAAGAAGCTATGCATGCAGAAAGCAGAAGACAACCACAACCACAGGATACCACAATCAACCGCTAGCCTCCCTAACCCACAGGACCCAAACCGCCCGTCCTCACTCCGCACGCCTCGCCCACTGGACCCCCACGACTCTTGAGGAGAGCGTTGAGCTGACTTGCCAGGTCCGGCTCCGGCTCAAGGGACTGGAGAGGCGGGACCGGCGAATGGCTTGCCTGGGCGCGTCCAGTCGTGACCCTTCGAAAGATGGTGTCTGTAAAGGAGTGATGGGACTCGGCAGGGATGAATGCTACAATATGCTGGCAAAATCCACAAGGTGGGGGCGGACGGAGGGGTGACGAGGAGCCTTTTCCAGCCTGGTCTGGCTTTTGAGTGTTGACGACCAGGAGTATCTGCTTCATGCGGAGAATTGTAGAAAACCATCAAGAATTCTGGCAAATACCGAAGTAATACCTACTGTATTATGGAAAATCCATCATGGCCCCTTCTCATTCGCCTCCACAACCCCTCGTTGGTCCTGGGAGGTTATTGCCACTAGCTGTGCGCCTGTGTGCCACTGATGTTGTTTTAAATACTGTCATGTCTACTTTGTGTGCACCACCCAACTCCTGTGCGAAAGAACACCGCAAATACTTCAGGTGATACCCCGCGGTAAAAGAATTACAATTCCTGCGTGCCAGGTAGAAGTCAACATGCCATCGAAACAGCTATCCCAACCAGAAAAAAAACAAGGGTGTTAGGTACCCCAAAACTACAAGTTCAACATTCAAATAATATATTCAATTTACTTCATGAATGATTGAATATTTGCAAAGCGTTCATGATGTTCAAGCAAAAACCATGCCATGAAGAAAGGCCACACGAAGAAACCAAAACACACGCAGGAACACATCACAAACGGTGTCGCCGTCGCCTCTGGCCATTCCTCCCAGGTCTCCTCGTCGGCCTGCACCGGTGACAGAGGGAGGTATCCGAAAACGACTGAGGGAGGTCATTCGTGCAGCTGAACATCGGCATGTTATTTTGCCCAGCCATCCACATGAATAAAATGGTCCTTTAAATGAGTCTTCATAAGGCTTCATCCAACATGTCACAAAGAATTCTTCTGGTGTGTTTGTCATGTGTTGATTCTGTGAGATTCTAACAACCCACCACATTGCCCAAGCGGCAATGAAAAAGTGGTCACGACTCTTCAATCCACCAATTTCGCACCAGAGCTGTTGAGCCAAGAAGCTGTACCAAAACAACCCTGGCCTGGCCCTACATGGCTGTAGGTTGTCCACCGGGATACTTGCGGACACACGACTTGCGGACACACGACTAGTGGCGCGACATCCCTTGACATCCCTTGGTATCGGGGGTGATACCGGGTATGAAGGGTCTGAAAAGAAAAGACAGGACGTATGCGAGTGAGCAACGTCTGTGTGAGTATCTAGCATTTGACCTGCCTGCGAGGTCGTTCGCTACATGGTGTTGGGACTCCAGGTTCTGACTCATCTTTCCGCTCTTCACAGTGCCGAACCGCTAGCAGCTTGCAGTTGTTCATCCCTGGGCTTCTACAGGGTGTGTTCACCAGCGTGTCAGCGTGTCTACATCCGACCTGGATCCTGTTGATCCTCTTGATTTAATCTCACGATGTTCGACCCTATGGAGTGAGTCTCGGAGTGAGTTATTAGGTATGCTAGATCTCAAACCCTCCTTGCAATCCCCACACCATATGCTATACGGATCTGGATTCCTCAGTTCCCATGATCAAACAATTTGCACAGCCCACACACACGCATGGCACGAACACACCGCTACGCGCACGTGGTGGATTCACCGCGGACGCACGAACAATACCCTCCTAAAGTGAGTATATAACCCTCCATCCGGTTGCCACATCCCTCTACCTGAACCGCATGAGGGCTTGTGCCGCCACTTTCCGGCAGCAGCGGCGTCGCGACTGGTGCAACAGGCGCTTCAGCCAAGAAGTCCTGCAAAGCAAAATGGAGCCTGGGGAATGTGACACTTCAACCAGCAAGTGATCCCCAGGCCAAGGCCAAGGGGTCTCTCTATCTCCAAGCGTTGGTTTCTGGGTGTACTGTAACTGTTCAAAACTTCAACAGGGAAAGTGACTAGCTGACATGGAAGCTTGAAGACATTCAACAGCTTGCAGCAGCTGGGGAATAGCTGCTGAAAGAATACACCCAAGGCTCCAAGCATGTTCACAAGCCTCCAAGGCTGCCATCCTACAAACATGTGGACCTGGGTGATGAGGTTCTTTGAATCAACCTAGAATGCAATCATGACACATATAAAACAACATGAGTTTTACAGTATATATATATCCAATAATGCAATCCTTGCAGAAGCCTCACGGTGGCGGATGGTCCAACAAGTCCATGTAGGCACGTCAAAACCTGGGCATCCCTGGTCCCTGGTAGACCGTTTTCTTCAAGGCCCTGTAGTTTTTGACCCATAGTCACATCTTGTATCAAATGTCAGATGTCTCACAACCTTCTTGGTCATGCATAGTTGCAGCATAGTACAGTCATCCGACTGAACCCAGCCTCAAAAAGGTAAAAGGGTGAGCTGAAGTTTCACAAGAAGTCGTGCCCGAACGAAGCTTGGCATTCCAAACCTGCCTGCTCTGCCACCTGGGCGACTTGCCGACGTGTGCCAGATTGCCTGAACCAGCAAGGCTTGCCCCAAAGGTCAAGCAGTAGAATCCACTGCTCGATGGCTTTGTAGCGGCATCCATTGACGAATTCAAACGAACTCGTGTTGGCAGTGGTCCCCACAGAGATCTGCGAAATCGCACCGATGATGGATGCCTTCAATGGCACCGATGATGGATGCCTTCATTTTTCCCTCCTTCCCCTTGATGTACTTGCCAGCGGACGTCGTGCTCACAGCTGCACCAAGTAGTGCACAACGGGCTGTTTTGACAAGCATGATTCTCATACGAGTGGCGGACAGTATTATCTGCTTAGCCAACAGTAAATATTACAATAAATAGGGCAGTGTTTTGGATGCTTCCTCGCGTTCAATTTGAAAAGGTATCGGCAGTGAGGTGGGCCCCTATCCGGTAATGCAAAAACCTGGATGGTTGAGGGGGAACCCCTGGATAAATTAAAGCAGCACCCCTTCTTGCATAGTCTCGGAACGATTGTGTCAGTTGTTCTTGAATGCTTTGAGGCTAATCATGGTGCCTTCTCAAATATGTCTCTCAATGCGCTTTTCGCTCATCTTCCTTCCTGAAAAGTCGTACGATGCTGCTTTGTTTTGTTTCACTTCTGGTCTGCTCTATTCCTTGTCATTTCAACGCAGTCAGTACCTGACTGGTCCCTGGTGCTCCCGACAGGTCTGATCAACCGAACGAGACACGATTCCGGATCAGTTCTCCAAAAACACACTCAAGTCCGACCACTTCACACCTCCACCGGAGTGATCCAGGAGCTTTGCCAGGCCTGCCATCAAGTGACAACCAGCTGTGGGCAGAGGTCCCTCCCAGCCCTAGCGGCATTTTTACCGCCCAGAAAGACGCGCAGGTGTCTGCACATTTGACATGGACACTGCGTGACGATGAGAACATCGGGGGGTCGGGGGGATGGGAGGGCAAACATAAATACGTCGGTATAGTTTCTTATTAATCTTGCGATGTCAAGAGTTTCTTTTGTTCAGAGGCCATGGGTGGTGGCCTGAGTGTTTTGGGCGCTGAGTTTGTCGTACGTGTTGTTGTTGCGAGTTGGCAAGAAGTACAAGTTGCTTTTGAGGAAGTGCAACCATGCCAAAAGCATCTTCGCTGTCACCCAAAGTGAAGAAACACAGGGCAAGCAACACAACAACCAGCAATCCCCTCCCCAGCTGAAGAGATGTGAAAATCCAAGGAAGGGGTCCATCGCAACATCAAGCAAACAGTTTCTTCCCTTTTCCAGCCACCTTCGCGACAGTTCCTGTCATAGATTTTCCTGTCACCTGCTTGCTTAGCCGTGGCCTCAATGTTCCCATCTCAAGGGCCCAAGGTGTTAATTGTTCTGATCTTTCACATTGGAAGAGGAATTCCCTGCTTTATCGTCTTCCAAAAGCCATCGAAATCACACGAGTGTGGACTTTGACCTGGAAATACATTCGCCCCAGGCATAATCGACAAAGCATATTATGTAAATTGTTCCGAAATGTGCTCAAAACCTACAAAACGAACGCACCGAAAGGGGCACCTTTTTGACAGGAAAATGCCATAACGGTTGCACGAAAGAAAACAACAAACAACATTTGTTTGACCTCAGATTTCGATCTAATTACAGTATTGTTTCGCTGCAGCGCACCACCCCGAAAAGAACAAGCCCGTGGGGCTGTAATGATTCCGCCGGGAAGTTTGTGTGCAAAAAAGAACAGACAGGTTGTATCGTCCCTAAATGGTCAGTATCTGTGTTCATCGAGCAGCTCAAGAGGTCGCTCAAGAGGTCGGTTTGAATAAACAAGACTATGGGCACCTAAAACATCCAATAATGGCAGTAGTAAATGCCCTTTGGTGGCGATGCCCTTTGCTACTAGTAGCTTCTTGTTCCTAGTAGTAAGGCCACGAGCGCCCCCTTCGTAGCGTCTGATCACTCCTAAAGCATCCGATCACCACCCCGGTGGCGCCATGTGAGCCGAGCCGACGGGCGAAATTCATCCATGAGCCTTCGGATTCGTCAGGGGAGAAAAGAAGGTTTGCATCTCCCGGACTGTCCGGACAGCAATGAATCAATGAATCAAACGTGGGCAATTCCGGGTTGAGATGTTGTGGGCTCTTGTGGTCGAGCCCTTATTCCAACCCCCCGCAGCGGAGACCGCCTCGCTGCCCACCACCTCTGGGAGAGGCGGCCAGTCCTCTGGGACCTGCGGAGCAGTGGTGCTGAAGCGTTCTTCACCGAACAAACGGAGAGTTTGAAAGCTACACGTTCAGTTCTATATATATATATGTATAATGTATGTATAATTATGGATAGTTTACTGTATAGTTCATATAATTAATTATATTAAGATTCTTGTTGGGTTATTGTTCAGTGCACGGCACAATGTGCTGTGATGTACCGTGTGTATCAGATATGTGCTGGGCATTGAGTTGGCATGTAGCAAGTACACTCCAGGATGATCCAGGTATGAAGAGGTCCTAGTCCTACCACCAAAAGATGGCGTTCTTCATTTCCGTCTGACTGCCTGTTGAGATGATGTTGAAAATGGAACAGCTTCCCATCAGGGAACAAACCATTGATATCAAAGAAATCAAAGGCCCACAAAGCCTCTGCTCGAATTGCTGATGCGATCAATTGTGAACAAATAGACTTGACACCTTCGCTGCGCCATTGAGTCGCGAGTTGCGGTGTTACCTGCTCTTGGACGAAGGTCTGTCCCAAGGCCAAAGCGGTCTTTATGGCTTCGAACTCCGCCTGACCAAGGCAGTTGCAGCAGCCTCTCTGGTTGGTCCAAGTGCCCATTTAGTGGCTTCCATGGGCGGAGCCTCCATTCAGACCATGCAATTGTTTTCACCTTACCAACAGCAACCAGGTATACACATTGGTTTTTCATTTTTCAAGCCCGCTCCTACTTGATCAAGTAGGCGCCTACATAATTAAGTTAGCAAGTAGTTCGCTAGTTACTAGCAATAGGAAACTCCTAGATAGGACGCAGGATAGTTCACTCTTCTTGAAGGAAACTTCCCCCGCTTGAGGGCAGGGGGAGCTTCCTTTAAGAAGCGCTCAGACTAATGATTTGGTAATTGGTTTCACTCCCAACAGCATCTAAAACACATGGTTACACAAATGTGTTTTCAAAGGGAGGTCTGAAGACAAACCAATCCCAAGGTTCGGGCTCTGCAAACTGCAAACAACACAGCTTTTGCGTTCGGCTTTTAGGTTTGTCATTGCTCCACAGGTTGCGATGGTCCAAGGGACATGAGGACACAACGCCATTCAAACGTGATTGAGCAACTAGAAAATGCTTGGGATCTGCACACTCCAGCCACGGTAGCCTCAGGGATCTGTTGGAGATCACAGCTGGACCAAAGGTCCTCACAGCTGGCACAAAGCGAACGGCTTTCAGGAAGTGATTTCAAACCAACCCGCCAAAAAGCCAGTACTGGGCCAATCCCCAGTTTAGGGGAAGTATCCCACCCAGTCGGTCGCACTCCAAAACACTCTGACAAAGTCACTGTGAACACAGTCCCTTCTCCTTCTGCTCGCTGACGCCATGTGGACGCTGGACCCAGATGAAGCAACATCCAACAGCTGGAGGCGGCGTTTAAGACTTCACCAACATGTTGTGCCAACGGCGGGGTCAGCCCCGCCGGCAACATATATCCGATCCGTTGACTAGTCTTTCAGGGTGAGGGGGGTTGGGGTCAGTTTCGTCCGTGTTACTACTCGCGCACATCGACTTTGACGTTGACTTGTCGACTCGGTGGCCTTTCGTTCGCTCGGTGACCGCTTTTCCTGGCTTAGAGGACATGACGGGCTCGACGTTCAAGGTGTGTTTTAACACTGCGTATGGGTTTTCTTGGCCGTTGCGATGCAAAGCTGCAACGACAGCACGATCAAGGCCTCGCAGCGTTGTGGTTCCGCCAACATCCAGGGTTGGACTCAATGCTCGAGGCTGTCAGAATACATAGAGAAGCTGCGCAAGACACTTGTCCACCAGCTCAAATGTGCAGTGAGCTCAATTGGGAACAAGACTTATGTCCGGCGGCAAAAATGAGCCTTGGCAAGCTGTACATGGAGCAGGCGGGTGCGTTGAGTCCGTCAAAAAACGCATGCAACTTATCGTCTTGCAACTCATGAGTTGCAAGACGATAAGTTGAGTGTCCGGAAAGCCACGAAGCCCTGTAAAACACAGGGCTTTTCACCCTCGGTGTGTTGCGTTCGGGGCTAACCCCCCCTAGTTTACCCAACATGTTGTTAAATGTCATACAAACATTATACAAACCATACAGCCCTTTGCCTTGGTGGCAAGTTCGCCCAACGGACACCAAGGGATCGCGCCTCCGTGTTGTGGCAAGGGGCCGGTTCCCGAAGAAGAGTGAAAAACAAACCATTACTTACTGTTAGAGGAAGAAAAATCTGCTGAGATGGAGGATACCCCACTCTTGTGCGGGCGGCGCAAGATTCATTCCTGCAGAAAAAAACGGACAGGGAAAAGGTCCTTCTTTGAGGCATCGGGCTTTGGGCAGTTTGTGGGACCCCAAAGTAACGTCAAAATATTAATATAGTGGACGATTATTGACCATTATGACTCCTCAGAAGGTTCATAGTTACAACTATAGTTCATGGGTGCCTCTTCCTCATTGGACGTTCCACTCCATGCACCAGGCTGGCACGTAACGCAGGACCAAGACCACGCAGCTTCTCTAATGATTTACATTTCACATCTTCAGAAACACCTGAAACACCGCGTCCCCCGCTTCCCTTGGGATGTTTCTTTGGGCTTCCAAAGACTTGGGATGTTTCTTTTAGCTCTGCGGCTCCTCCGTGTGCGACTCAACCATCTGCTCAACCTGCGAAGTATTTGACGGTCCAAACTCCGGTGATGGAGCAGCTGGGTCTGAAACCGCGTTGCCCCACGTTCTATTCATCAGGCAAAGAAAACGCATGATCTCTCAAAAACAGTGGGAAAAATGGAAGAAGGGCGCGAACCACTACCCTTCCAGAAAGGTTTCGGGCATTTCTAGGCACTACCATCCCTCCAATAATCATGGAAGTGGAACATGCCCGTGGAAACTGGGAAAACTGTTCTGTTTTCCACTACAAACACTGGGGTGTCCAGAAGGAATAACAGTTGCGCCACTAAACTGTGCACAAAAAACAACTTTAAAAAAACAACGAGAAAACCAGAAACATCGAAAACCGTACTTTTAAGGCTCACTAAAATATACTAAAATATCGAACAAAAACAATATATATATATATATAACTATGTATGTATATATATATAGAGAGAGAAACGCACCCGCCTCCTGGTCTTTCTTTCTGGTTGCTGCCAACGGTCACCCCTGGTTTCGTGCTACACCATTGACTGCAAAAACAAAACAATCCCAGCACATTCCCATCAACAATTTGCGACACACATGCCAAGGTTTTACACTCCCTGGAATGAAAATAACTAGAAGTGAAAACAGGACCCACTTGTTTGATCCTCTATGTAGAGGAACATGGTCTTCCTTTCGGGGCCATGTTCCACGTCCATGTTAGCTCCAGGGAGACTTCAAATATTTTGACCTCAAGTCTGACAAACATCAACCAACGCCACTCTGCAACCTGATCCGCGAACTGGTTGACCAAGATCCACCGGACCCACGTCGTTCTTCGCGTGTGATGGCCTCCGACAGGCGTGTTCCACCCCACCTCGTCCTCGTCGGTTTGGATGCGATGTTCCAAGAATTGGCTCTGCGCCTGTGGGTTTTCGGACGAACATCGACCATTTGGCGAGCGAAGTCCGAATTCGTTGAGAACTCATCCTGGATAATTCAAAAAAAGTGGGAATGTCCATTCTATGGAGTGCATCCAAAACTCATGAAAACAAAAACATACAAAAAACCTCGAACATTCAGCCACCACCCGAGTGCCAGCTGTATCAGTTGCCAATACACCAGCAGGTTCTTTCACGTGAGCCAAACGTGAGCGTTTGATGTACATGATTTGTACGATATTGGCACACATGGTTCTGATGTGTGACTGCTGTGCTACTCGCACCCCCCTGTCTCTGTCTTTCCGAGGCAGGGACACTAGAATCAAAAATGGGGAGCACTGACTATAAATATGAAAGCTTCGCCCCAGAATCACACCTTGAACTGCTCTCTCGATAGATTGATTTCTGTTGTCCGCGCTATGCCCGAGCACTTCAGCTACATTGATCATTTCTTGTGGGAAGCGCTTGTTGTGCATTCTGATAGCAAGTCCGAAGTGGGCCGCAGGAGGATGAACTCGCACCCCTTTGTGAAATCTTTCTCGGTCATCTTCATGCCATCGGTATTCTTGTCGTAGACAATGTCTTTTGACACCAGCGATTCATGACACCAAGCCAGTCTGGACCCCTGGTGGTCGCACTGTTGTTTCAGTCAGGTCAGCATGAAAGGGCACGTGGTGCTAAAAGAAGTTCTACCTTCTCTGTGAAGGTCTCGAGCTTTTCCCTCACTTCATCTGAGCAGAACCTACTGAATCGACGCAATTCTTCTCTCTTGATGTCCGTCTCCTCCTTCGGTATCAACTTCCATGTTCTCGAACGAAGTAGCTGCCATTCTCTGATTGCTCACCACGTAATTCGACAATTTTGACAATAAGTTCGTCGATGTCATCTTCTTCTCATCCTCACCCATCATGGTGAAAAGGGATTGAAAATGATCATTGCGGTGTGCAGCTTGTCCTCGGTGTGGATTGGTTGCCACGAAGGATGCAGCGACCACGACGACAGGCGGCATGCCAATCTCAATCCAGCCTTGACAATGGTTCCGGCTAAGCTTTGCTCCAGAGAAAGCATCATTGAGCCCATGCCTTGCTCATCAAATCTGGGTCATGTTGGGAGTCAGCACTAGCATTCATGTTTGAATCAGGTGTCGACTGTGATGTGGCACCTGATGCAGCAAAAGAATAGGTCGCCCCACTCATGTCGTCTGTGCCCGGCATCTCAGAAAGTTAGCAGTCGAGGCTGGCTAAGCCAAGCCTAGGTAGGATGTCTTTCTTCGAGGTCCAGCTAGTCTTTCAGCTCAACTCGTAGCAGAAGCTGATAACCTGCGAGTCAGCGAACGTGTGGTCGACCAATAGGACATCCGCCTTTTCACTTGAGCCAAACGTGAGCGTTTGATGATCGATACAATATTGGCACGCATGGTTCTGATGTGACTGCTGTGCTACTGGCATAATAGGACACTCCTATAACTCTTCAGATGATTTTAAAATAAAAAAATCAGACCGCTCAAATCATGGCAGAATACCGGAGAATGCAAAACCTACTGTTGACACATCTCGATGCTGGCTTTCAGCGATGTTTGAACTGTTGGATGCATTGGGTGGTAAAATGTGATAAACCCTTCTTTGTGCTTCACCCAGGAGATGTGAGCGCTACTTCCTTCAGGTTTTTGTTGCAGTACATGGCCCTGCAGAATTGGAAGAACACTCCAGTGCTGTTTTTGATTGTTTTTGCAAATGACCAGAGTTCAGGATTTCACTTTACAACCTGCCGTTGATCTGGAGTAGGTCAGGCTTTCAGAAATGTGTGACCTGTGCCTCCCGCATTGGTCCATGATCATATCTTGACCATTCCTCGTCTTGTTTTTCATGAACCCAGTGGCCCAATAAGACCCGTGGGTGGGTGGGGATCGAAAAGAACTCTCTCAAAAGCTCCGAAGAACGTGCGACTCTCCAAACGTGCGCGTAGGCAACTCCCCGTAAACGTCTCACACGCGAGGGCTGACGCGTATGGCGATCACCGAGAGGCCAAAATCTCCAGTTGACAGTTGGCACTCCGCAGCTTTAAGCCCACTGCCTCGGTAGCACATGGAGGAGCGCTTAGGGGTTCAAAGCACTTGGTCCTGTGGCGCTGGAGACAAAGTGGCAAAGATCTGGAATGTCCACTCGGCAGACCCTCCAGCATCAAGGCATGACGTCAAGCAAAAGCATGGGGAGCAGGCGTACAGTACCGTACAGAAGTCAGAGAGATGAACATGAGTGGCAACACGTGATGGGGTCGAAGAGTATGGGGTTGAAGAAGCGATGGAGAAGTACGGCACTATCATGGACGCCTTCTGAAGAGGTTTGGTAGGAGGCACCGTGCGTGAAAGTGATTTGGGATGAAGTGGAGAACCAAAACAACCAGGTAGGACACGGTAGGACATGGTAGGATGCAGGATGTGAGCTAAGTTTCCCTATATAGTACATGTTTTGGATAATTTAGGAAACAAATCATTCGTTTGAGCGCTTCTTCAAGGAAGCTCCCCCCAAGTCCTTAGGCGGGAGCAGCTTCCTTGAAGAAGCGTGAGATATCCTGCGTCCAGTTACTAGAAGCCTACTCCCTTACTCAATCAAGTAGGTGCCTACTTAATGAAGTAAGGAGGCAGGGCCATGGGCCAACAAAAATAATCGACCAGCTGCAGACGATCCGGTTCCGGACCAATCCAGTGACGAACTCCGATAATGGTCACGTCGTGAGCCTAAATTCGGGACAAGAGTGCCAACACTCCGCACCTAGTAACAAGAAGCTACTGGGGGCTCCTGGCCTTACTACTAGGAGCAAGGACGCTACTAGGCTCCTGGCATCGCTACTAGGAGCACTCTTACTAAAGCGAAGAAAATTCAGGTGAAGCTAAAGCTACCAGGTCCCTGTCCCAATCCCAAAGCAACTATAATTTACAAACACGGGCTACAATGGCTCATCCCAGGGTCTGAGCGTGAAACCCGATCACTGCACCAACTTGCCAAAGGAATCCGTGGAATACCAAAGCATAGCTCCATATGGCAGGCTGCATAGGAGGCCATCGCTACGAAGTCAGTTGGAGGTTGCATAGGAGGCCATTGCTATTAGGTTGGAGCCCAGTGGGCCCAATCTATATAGTCCTTGGTTTCTGCGGTAGTTTCACCAAGGCTGAAGTGCTCATATTAACTGTAGCTGGAAGACTCTTGACTCAAAAGCAGAGGGACAACATGGGCTAAGTCTTTCATCGGTGGTCCCAACACATCGGTTTTTTCACCCTAATTTGACCCCTGAGGATCCGTGTCAAAGGCCTTTGGGTGTACAAACCCCCACCATCGAGGCTCTGCCCGAAGTTGGATCCAAATCAATGGAAAGCATCCAGACTCATTTTGTAGACTAAACCTCTTCACCCTTCCCACTCTCGAGGTTCCCCTTTACCGAAACCAAAACGACGCCTCCGCACGTTGTGCGGTGGCTTGGAGCCGCTCCTCGGTGCTCTCCACACGCCTGAGGCGTTTCGCTGCGTGTCGGCTGCGGGAGGCGGGAGGCCTTGGAACATCTGCCTCCCGTTCGGACCTGAATTGTAAATGGATGTCCGAACATCTTGGGGCCATACAACTGGCCATACATATATTATATAATACATATATTAATATGTATATAGTATTCTATAGTAATAGGAAATGAGAGGAAGCAGTGGAAGTTCAAGGGAAAGTGTTCTTCAAGGTACCTGATCATGGGGGATTCATGGAAATGGTTTCCAGAAGCTCAGCAAATCAGTGAGATACATGGAGGCACCAACATATAATATATAATTGCACAATGAATCCTCGTGTCATAGCGTTTGGACCGGAACATCTCCGACTTTCCAGCACACTCGGCCCAAGCGTACGATAACCCTTACGGGAAGCGTGAGCCTGAGAGCTTTATATATATATACTATACTTGTATATCACTTCATGTTTTCATCTGAGAGGCGGGCCACAAGCTTGGTACCCTCAGAATCACTCTTCCAGGGGAAGGAAGTGGAAAATAAGTTAAAATAAGCCTGTGGAGGACTAGCTGACAAAACGGAGAGTCTATTGTTTTCCACGCCCATCTGATGTGCTTGGAGGGGTAAACAGAACAAAGGGTGTGCCTCAGATTCCAAGCCAGTGGCCTGATCCCAATGCTAGTACTTGCAGGGGTACTTGGATATGTCCAGGGCCAGTTGGAAGACCTGGACATGAGTCTCATAAGATGAGACCCGCTGTCAACTGAGACCTGCTGAAACCCTCTGCCTCAAAATGCCATCTCGCAAGGACTGCAGAAGTCTTAGGAGCAGCTCGTCCTTTGCAGCAAAAATGCTGGTCTTGGTGGGACACGTAGGGGAGAAACTTGTCCAAGAAGTGGTAGACTTCTCGATGGTAGGGTGTGCTTTTGAATTCGTGCAGGCAATGTAGTTGCATGACAATAGTGGATTCCATCCAAGCTGAGTAGGCTAGATGAAGCTGCTGCCAAACATCCACCCTTTTTATTCATTTGGCCTCCATCTGGGCTATTTAAGGCATGACACGTAGATCTAGAGGGTGGGTGCGCTTGGGAGAGCACACACTAGCTCAAAACCCTTAGAAAACACTGTAAATACCGTGCAAAATTTCAAAAACTGCTCTGAGAACTAGGCGAAACGCAATTTTTTTGATCTGTCTGTGCCCAGTCTCCATGTCCAATGTCAATGACAACAAATAACAGCTCTTCGTTTGCCCACTATCAATGTGCAACACCAATGATAAATATTATCAGGTGAATCTCTCTCTGCCCACAATGAATGTAGCATCATGAGCGAATGAAGATATAATACTATACATATCTAGAGTCAATAGCTTTCCTCTGGATCTCTGGGAAAGTAGATTTCCTAGATTTGTGTATTTTCATTGAAGGAAAGCCTTTGAAAGAAACACTTACATACATACTTATAGCTTTTTTAAAATACCATGACTATTTCCAGAGATCCAGAGGAAAGCTTTTGAAATGAAAGCTTTATATTTTTTTCACAGAAGTGATCAGATCTAGAGGGAACCTTTTGAATTAGAAGTTTGTACATAAAGCAGTTTTAATATAGCAATGAATATTCCAACAAATTACTTTAAACAAATACTATCTACTCAAAAACATAGTGTGTGTCTTATTCCCAGCACTCCTAGGGCAAAACACACTGTAAAATATAGGGTTTTGTAACATGTGTGTTCTTAAACTAACTAAACTGGAATTAAAATAGAATTAGGCAAACTTAAATTAGAAGATTTCAATCAAGATCCTTTTAACATTGATTGTGGAATTTGCTATTTATTAGATATTAGATTGCAATAAAAATCATTTCCAAGTTCTCTTTAAAACTCATTGTGGAAACTAGTTCTTACAATTAGATTTTAGTCAAAGTCCTTTTCAAAGTTAGTGGTGGCTTTGATTTAGTATCAGATTGTGTTTAAAGTCGATTTAAGATCAATTGTGGAAATTGTGATGCTTAACTAACTTGAATTGATGTTGTATCTGTTTGCTCCCCACTACAATCAAATAAAAGGACTTTAACTAACATCTAATTATAAGAATTGATTTCCACCATTAACTGTCAACTGAAAGTTAATTTTCACAATCAATTCTAAAAGGGTCTTGATTGATATCCAATACACAAGCAATTCAATCAAATTATGTTGAAAAGAACTTAAATTAAAATCTAAACAACAAGCAATTTCCACAATGATTTTGAAAAGGACATTAATTGACATTCAAGTAATGCCTAATTTCTACAATGAAATATAATAGGGTTTTAATTGAAATCTAATTCAAAATCAATTGCCACAATGATCTTGAAAAGGCATCTAATCGTTGAATTACACATTCATTTTTCTATAATTAATCTTGAAGAAATGTTAATTGAAATCTAATATAAACGTCAATTTCCCCAATGATTTTGACAATGATATAAATGAAACTTAGTTTGTAAAAAAATATACAATTAATCTTAAACACATTTTTAATAGAAAGCTAATGATACATCAACTTCCACCAATAATTCTGAAAGCGGTTTAATTGAAGTCTAATACCAAAATCAATTGAAATCCAATTTAACATCAAATTCCACCGTTAAACTTAAATGATGCAAAAACACTGTGTTTTACAGTGATTTCTTGCAAAATCCTCTCCAAAATTGAGGTTTTGAGCTATTTGTTGAGCAATTTTGTGAGATCCAAGCCTATCCCAATTTAGAGGGAATACCAAAAAAACAAAAAAAAAAAAAAAAAAAAAAAAAAACAAACAAAAAAAAGTTTGAGACACAGTGTTTTTGTATCATTTTTTGCATGAAAAACATCTCCCAGGAGCACCCGTTCTGTAGATCTACGGACAGCAACTTGGCATTTGACCTGCTATCTATCGCTAGTTGACCTGTTGGTTGACCATTTGCCTTCCGCCCTTCGCTATCAACCCCTCCGGCCGCGACGCGCTCCCGGCTTTCGCGCGTCCTGCACGGCATCCCAGGTGGCGCTACTTTGCAACTCCAGGAGCCTTGATGCCACGACCGCCACCCTTTACGTTGACGACACCCCCGCTTTTTCAAAAATTAAGCACCTTGATGTACTTGAATCCGCAACCAGATTTGCTTTCGTTCGGCCACGCCCTTAGTTTCTTGCCTTCGTGCCTTCCGAGCATTCGTGTTTTCTCGATGTAAATTGTTCCTGCATTGGAGACCAACCAAGTTGTGCCTCGGTGTCAGATCATTGCAAAGAGGAAAGAACGAACGTGTCCGTCAGAGCAGGGAGTTTGACAAAGAATGACAAACACATGTTCTTTTGAGGCTCCCTATCTGAGCAAGAATAGAAGCTAGGGTTTCGTTGCTCCACCTTTGCACCCGACGCCCAACGCCACGGTGCTGAACGGATCTCAGTCATTGCTTTTCGGAGCTGTCGGTGTGACACCCTTTCAAACCTTGGTCGACCTCACTCCGGACACATCTCCGGTTTGAGAGGCTGCTTTTCCCAGGTTCAGCCCGCTGAATGGTCGCAAGAGAGGTAGAGATCATGATCTGATGTGAAACACTGCGGCGGTCAACACGCAAGATATGTCCTTGAGGCCTTTGACCAGAAAGTAAGCTGGGTTCTCAATCAGCTTTATTAGCGTAACGGTCTGTTGTATTGAAGTTGAAGCAATTTCATCTCATGCTTAGAGTTGTCACTGAATTTGAACATCGTTCAGGCACCCATCAGACACGACCTTTCACTCAAAAAGCTCCTTGCAAAAGCGCGTGAATGTCTCTACGTCAACTGTGAGTTCAACAGGTTGTGAATGATCAGCTTAGCTATGATGCCAAATGCCGGATTCTCTTAAAGTCAGGAGATTAATGAACAGCATGTTTTGTTCGATATGAACGACAGTCCCACGATAAGGAACATTCAAAGTCATGTAAACGTAGACTTCCTTTGATATGAGTTCAAAGGGTAAGATTTGCAAGATATGTCTTGCGGTGACATTTTGTTAACCATATTCCTGATTCTAGGATCATACCTGCATGGAGGTGCAACAAGCTCCTTCCATAAAGCAGCTGTGTGGAAAACTAATACACAAACGATAAGGAATTCCAGGTAGGACACCTACTTGATGACAAGTCACTCCCAATCTCCAAGTGGGTACCGTGGCTCAAAATCACTAGGATGCTCTGGATGGCACCAAATTGGGGCTAGCACCGCCGAAACATCCCGAAACCATTTGCGCCGGGCAGCACATTTGCAGTATCCATGGCGGCCATCACTTCTTGCCGCAGCCCCAAATGAATGCACGCAGGTGGGCATTTGAGTGCATTCTAAGATTCTGAGTGCATGACAGAGCAGCCTATATCAATGATGGTGGTCAAGGGTAGTCATGCGCACCGCTAGGTACCACTCATCCTTCATAGGAATCAAACCACATCACACCTGTCATGTTCTGCATATCCTCTCAAATGCTGGGATGAATTTCCTCCTCCGCTCCTCTAAGTCATCACACCCTGCTTTCACCTTTTGTGGCATTGGCATTGGACTCCCTCGAGAACAAGACTGGCAGGTACTTGAACAGCATCGGCTGGCACGATCGGACGGCCATCGGCTGCCATCGGTGGTGTTCTTTGTTGCGACCACAACTGCTGACAAAGGCTTGGCACCTGGTTGACATGGGGACGGAACACGGTGATTGTTGCGCCATGTGACATGTGAAAAACCAATGCACTGCAGTCGGGAACTTGGGCATGGTGGTGTCGGGAACTCAGATTTCGCCATCACTTGGTCGATGGTTTTCCACTTGACAGGTCTTCACAAAAGTTTCACCAAGGACCATGTTGCATTCACTGCCAAGCTGCGATTTCCAGCATCAAACAAACCTTGCGCTCAGGGTCTAGGTTGAACAAACATTATGGTGTTCATAGTAGATTGTAGATCCAATGCCCCTTCAGTCCGCATGCTAACAACAAGCACCAGTGCACCACGGTCTCTGAAGACCTGAAGCAAGACTTTGGGTATTCCCACATCAATCCCTCATATCTCCAAAGATTCCAAATGCATGGCTGCCGCTTAGCTGTTCCAACGCCGCAGTCTTCCTTTTGACTCTTTTTGAGTGGTGAGCCAAGTCATTTTTTGCTCACTGCCATCTTACAGCCTTGCCATCAAGGTGGTCATCTATTTCCCATGGCAACAACTACAGTAGCTCAAAGCGTCCCAGAACATCTCCAACCAATTCAACCAATTGATCAAAAAGCACCATTACAATCATGTCATCATGAGTCATGAGCCTCCTCCAAAAATGTGTTGTGTGTGTCTTTGAAGATTTTGAGCTACATGACCAGGCAAACAGAGGGCGGCCCCAAGACTTGGTCAACTCAAGCAACAGGCTTTGATGCTTTCATGAGTCAATCCATCGACGCTGTTTGTCTTTTCAATGACCTACTGTGGACTAAATAAACGGTGGTCTTCAAACAAGAGCCCAACTCAAGTATCTGAAAAAATAAAAGAAAACGCATTCCCCCAGCCCCCAGCCACCATGTTGTAGTTCCAGGTGTGGACGCCCAGTCGGTTCCCTGCGTTTTCGGCGTTGTTCGAGATTCTACATGTAACGTTGCTTTATGTGACCACACAACATTCATGAGGTTCTGCATTGCAGGGGTGGGTGGTAATGACATTGGGGTTCTTTATCAACACCACATGAATGTCTTCTTAGTTGTTGTTTCATGGACGTTATCGTGTTGCTCAACATGGATGCAACAAAGTCTCTGCTTGTTAAGCGCAGCTTCATATCGAAACCGCAGTTGTGTAGCTCTCATGGTGGTAGGAGTTTCCTTTCTTTCTGCTTTAGCCCTCCGAAAGCATTGGGAAACTTGTGCAGCAAAATGTCCGAGTGAAAAAATGAGTGATTCATGTTTCATGTTCATGAATCAAGAACCACTGTTGATGTACAAAAGTACAAGACGCCGCCCTTAGGTCCGTTTGGGCGTCGTCACCGTTTGTCCGTTTGGTAGATTCTTCGACTGCTAGAGTCTAGACTTCCAAAAAGGAACACGTTTCGACTGTGGAGATCTCTTTTGCGATCAGTCCGCATTGGGGTAAAAAGAAGAAGGCTGGACTATGAGCATTGAATAACAAGAATCGTCCCTTGATGGACTCGGGCCATGCATGACTCGTTCTCATGCAACTGTTTCAACATGTTTCAACTGTACACGGAGACATGGAGATCAGCAGCAAACTCGGCAGTTCACAACACTGCTATTACAAAGCTAGGCTGAGGTTCTGGGCGACCAATGGTGTTCTCTACATTCTATACGACTCTAAACCTAAAAACCAGACTTGCTGGTAACAACTGGCCATCTCTCAAAGCCCAAAATCATCCAAAAGTCCTACCAGTAAGCACGACGGCAAGGAACAGCTGGAGCCACCACAACAAGCTGACACCGAAACTCACAATAGCGACCGCAACGACAACTGCAGCACAGCTTCTCCAGCACAAAGAACGAGAACAGGCAAAAGCCGCGCGCCGCTGACCGTCACTTCCGCCACGAATCCACCAAAAGAGCTGCTGAAGAGCTGCTGAAAGTCAAGGAGGAACGACCAACGACGACAGCGACACCGAGTCAGTAGTAAGAACAGTGACAACCGATCATTCGTCATTGCAGTAATTGAGATCCGCATCACATCAGTTTGCCAACAAGAAACAATGAACAAGTTAAAAGAGACGACGGCGACGACAACTACAACAACACCACCACCAGCAGCAGCAGCAGCAGGAGCAGCAGCAGCAGCAGCAGCAAGGACAAGAAGGACAAGCAACACAGCAACAACAGTGAGGGGTGTCAAGAGTTTCTTGAGAGAATCAATGACGAAACGACAACAGCTACAATAATAGTATAGAACGACAACTTGGAGCAACCGCAACGACAACAAGCTCGAGAGATTTACACATGCAACAATCACATATCATCAACAGAATCACCATAATGACAAGAACCAATCATCTTCGCCGCTTCGTACAGTACTGAAGGATACTGGTGGGCATCATTGAATCATCAGCAGCGACTACCACTGACAGATCTGCATACATTGAAGGGAATTGAAAGCTTGCAGACCTTGACAGTGCAAGCTCAGAACCCATGAAACCGTGAAGCACCATGCACGTCTTTCTATGCTTTCCGTCTGGGAATCTGGTCTTCAAGTATGATCTGCTATGCTTGCCGCCGATGAAGATGTTGCAGCCAAAGACACGCGAATGGACAGTCGTGTGGGCCACGGAAAGTGGGTTTGGCTGAGGGACGGGACGTTGAAATCACACAGAGAGAGCAATGTCAAGGGTCTATGGAGAATGCCCTCAGTGGGAAAAAAAACTCTGAAATGAACTCGATCCTCCAATCATGCCTACTCTTCACCCACGCAATCCTTAAAATACCGGGAATAAGAACGAAACCAATTGCAATCCGGCACCATACTCGAAAGTTGCTGAAACTCATACTCAACGGAACCAACAAAGCAACAAGCGACTTCACAATGCGCAGGAAGTCACTCGTTAAATATCGTTAGATTTCAGCTCCACTCGCCAAGTGCTTTTAAGTTTGGTCTCACAAACGAACCGCAAGAGTCAATCTGTGGCTGCACGGGTTCGTGCTGCGAAAACAAATGCGGCGAGCTCGCACGACTCAGCCAAAGACTCCCCGGCGGTTCACGCTGTACCAGCCCTGGCCCTGGGTGGACAGGCATTGGAATCGGCTGGTCGATGTGTAGACAAACGTGCTTTGGATGCTGGAGACATGTGTACAATAAAAATGTTTGAAAAAACAATGAAAACACTCCAAAAGTCGTGATGCAGCTGCTTCAGAAAGAATCCATGGAATCCAACCGCTGAAGTTTCTTTCGAATGAGAAGGGCACACAGGGTGCACTCAGTCTACTACACTGTAAAAACCTCTTCAAAACGATGTCCAAACATATTTTGATTCAAAAACATATCTAAAAATTGGTTTGAATTCTTGTAATGCCGGACCTATACTGAACACGTTGGGTAATCATACCTTACCTTGGCAATCAAGAGCGGGTGGCCGAGAAATGGCGAGTTTGGAAACAAAAGCGAAAACCAGGACGTCAAAAACACCCTGTTTGCTAAGACATTGGTCTATAAAATGAACATTGAAAAAAACAAAGGGTCCCAAGTTGCAATGGACACATGGAGGTCTGTATATTGTACGATGGTTGAAACCATAGGCCTTTCCGAAGCCTTTTCAAAAATTAACCCCCAGGAAACCACACACCCAATGACAGGAACCATTATGTAGTCAAACCTGATCTAATTCCTTCTTGCTTCACTTTGTTTCCCCTCATGCTTTGCAGCCAGAACCCTTCCAAATCATGCCAAAAACCTGGGCTCCCAGGCAGTGCGAATGATGCGAATCTGCGGGTTTGTGCGGGAATAAACCAAAGAGCTGACGACCCAACCAACTATTTAACGACCAAACCACCGGTTGACATATATATATATACATATATATATATAATAGCAATAGTATATATATATATACAAATATACATATGTGACTGGTATATATATATATATCCCGACGGGTTTACTTAAGACTGTGGCACGTTTGTGAAAAACACCACGTTTTTTAACGTTTTCACTTTTCGGGGGGAAGACAAATAGCGTTTCTTTTGGGCGACATGCAGAACGGACACCTATCTCACACTCTCAGACACTCCATGTGTGGAAGATTGACCTACATGGACATCAGGTGAACCACCTCAATGATGCACAACATTCATTCATGGAGCATCATGGAGCATTTAGGCCTTTAGACTAGGACCTCAGGAGCTCATTGTTTGGGGGAGCCGCCTTTCATCTTCTTTCCGTTCGATCGTCGGCTCGGCTCGACGTCGACCGTTGGATCGAGGGCCAGCCAGCACACTTTCAAGACGCAGCACACGTTTCCCAGTGCGCGTAGAGCTTTTGTCGGCGCTCTCTGGTATCTGGGTACGAGGTCCAAAGCCACCACTGGTAAACGTAGCACCACAACAAACCGTTTACTTCTCCTTCATGGTTTCGGGCGGTGATTGGCTTCGGAACCCACTTTTTCAAGTCAGACCACATACTATCCACAAGGCCGGTGTTCACTTGGATCCGACCGTAGACTGCGACCTGGGAACTGTGATTCTAGTCCCCAGTAGAGAGCGCGCAAAACCTATGCTTCAACCTGTACTCTGTGGCCGGGCGCAAGTAGCAACGAGCTCCGTCCGTGATCAGTACTGAAGCAACTTTTCCTTGAGTCGACACATGCGGAGTCATGTGCTCCAATCCAGAAGTACTCTTCACATCCTGGTAACTCTCCACAGGGCACACAGCATTCGATGACACCTTCTTCACCGGCACAAAGTACAGCACCTTCTTGTACACGGAAGCTCCTCGAGGGCGCTGCGCCAACCGCCAACCCCCACAGCGCCACATATCTATATTGTTGGAAATATCTGTATTGTTGGAAATATTTGTGATTTTAACTCTTTGCATGTGCAATATGTATATACAGTACATGTACGGGTAAAGCCATCATGAATTCATCTGCGTCACGGCGACTCTGCGTCTGCCATAGCAGCAAATTCAATACTTTGCTGCTCCATGTGCCTAATCTTCTCTCGGAGATGGTATGGAGATTCGTCGCCGATAGACAGTGATAGAGAGCCAGAGGCCGATGATGTCTGGAGTCTGTGGACCTTCCTGACAAGAAGGTCAGAGAATGATTGCTGCAGGCGGAAGAGGCGTCTAAGCAAGGACAAGGGTCGGCGTTGGGTGAAATCTCAGGCAAATCTGCGGAAGCCATCGATCGCGCGGCGACGCCAGCAGTGCTAGCTGTAAAGAAATTACAATAATACTGTCCAGATTGTGGAGGTATGTGAAGAACCGACGAGAACAATTAGGAGAGCGGCTGCTGAAACTGCCCTGCGTGTCAACATGTCTTCGTAGTAACTATGCCAAACGGTTGCCAAGAGTAGGTAATTGTCATGAAGTGCTTGGAAACATACAGGCCACCGATCTTGCTGCAGAGCTTTTTGCAACACTTCAAGAAATCAGCGGTGGAACTTTCACTCCAGGTTTCAAACTATCAAGATACCACGGGTCTACCTCAAACCATGCTTGCAAGGGTTCCGGGAGCTGATCCACCCCTGTCCAACCCCCTAACCTCAACAACAAAAGAAAAGCCAAACCTAAAGCGAAAACAAAGGAAAATTCCGCCATATGAGCAACAAAACTGCATCCGGATGAACGACCAAACACATACCTTTCGTGATCTTTTGACAAATCCGTGACATTTCCCAAACACTCCATATATGGCATATTTACCTACATTGGGGTGGTTTCAGGGGTCAAGGTAGGTACATATTCCATACATGGAGTGCTAGGATATTGGAATATTGTGGGCCTAGTGCTGCAGGATGATGTCTAACTTAGGTTAGATATGAATAAATCCAGACGGGTTTTGAACACGCAGGTGTGCAAGCAAACATGTATGCGCAACACAGCACGAGTACTAGTATTGTGTGGCAACGTACAAGAGTTTCTCATGTATGAGTGTGTAATTTGTAACGTTAGCATCCCACCCCACCCCCACTCTCAGCCGTTCGCATTGCGTAGCAACGAAGAAGGGTTTCTTCTGTATGAGTGTGTAATTTGAACCGAACGTTAACGCGCCATCCGACCAAAAAACCCTCGGAATCATGGCACAGTTCTGAAGTCGTAACTGCAGTGTGTTTTACATCGACCGACGAAAACATGCGCGGTAAATACGCGTAAATACCGCGCTAAATTCCGAAAACGGATGCTCAACAAAAACGCGCGAATAGCGTATGAATGTACATGTGAGGTTAAAACACTCACAGTCTTTAGCAAACCCGTCTGGATATATATATATATACATATGTGACTGATGTATATATATATACATATAGACATGGGTTCGTGGGAAGCAATTGTTTCTGAAGCATTTGATCCAACTGTATTTGCTGCATATGTGTGTTGTACGTGTGTATTGTATGTAAATAGAAATACATATATGTATGTTTCTGAGAAGGAAAGGATTTTGGGCACGGCGTTCCTTGCAATTTCCCAAACTGTATGTATGTTGTATGCTCCAATATGTTGTCTGCTCAAGGCCAATGTTTCAGCATCTGCGCCTGTTTCTATACATACAAACAAATATAGTATATATGCGCACGTTCTTGGTCTATTATCTCCTATGCTTTACAGGGCGCCCCAAAAAGCACGCACACCCATATATATATACATAGGCGTATGTATGCATCCCCCCAAGGCCTTGTTGGGGTTTGCAAAGCATATTGTGAAGCAAATAACATATTGATTGCAGAAACCCCAACGTAAGATAATCCTAAACGTAAATTCACACAACGGGCCGCGATACCATTTTCTTGCTCTTCCATTTGCTTCTTTACTCTTTTCAGGGTTGTTTTCCTTCCATTCTTTCCTTTTTTGTCGGTTGTATTCTGTATTGCTGTAATATGTTCTTGCTTGTTTGGCTCTACAGCTGTCGCAGGTTTTCAAACCCCTCAGTAAATCTATCTAACGCCCTGTTATTCTGACATCCTTTGCAATACTGTTGGGTAGTATTCATTGCCTAGTATATATTTCATGTACAATTAATATTACATCTATGACAGCAAGCAATGCAATTCTCCAAAGTATGGCTAATTTCATTATCCTGTCTTTGGGCTGTCATATTTGTTGATATACGACCCTTTTGAAAATCTAATGTAGACCCACATCCACAGTAATTACAATGACTGGTTGTACTATCCATACACCATTGGGCGTTGACATAAACGTATTTTGTTATTTCTCTTTTATCCTATCCCTCCTGGATTCTTTAATCATTGTTCAACCGTCCTATGAAAATAGCTTGTGATACATCTACTTAAACCCTTAGCCTGTGTGGTTGCCGTCAAAGCCACTTCCTATAGTTTCTTATCAGAAAGTGGTTGTAGTCAAAGAAAGTAACATCACCAATTATACTATACCTTGGGCAGATTGACAAGTAAAGCAAGAAGCAAATATGACATTAGTACCTGCACAACCTTTGTTCCCTTCACCCCCTGACTTGTGATATGTTCAACTTTAAAAAGGTTTCACATACTGCTGCTATTTCACAGCTTACTTAAGACCTTTTCTCAACAACCTCAGTGTATTCTCTGCAGATTGACCCCTCTCCTTTGCAGATTGACCCCTCTCCTTTCATATAATATGTCCTATGATCTAGTGTCAAAATTTCAGCAGTTGCATTGATGTCTTTTACCGGTGTTTCATTAGATGCACTGATGTATCATTGTATTATCTTTTTATGGTACATTCTTTTCATTAGGTTGACCGATACGAAGATAACATAATTGTTGGTTCATTGTAATCTTCATGATAAAGGTGATTTTATGCAAGCCAGATTAACTATAAGCTATTTCGGACCTTTGTTCCCATCAGCATGAACTCTTTAGCAACAAATGTGAATGTTGTAACCCCAGAAATGCCAACAACACCAATAAATATTTATATATCTTTGTCTTAGCACTCCTGTCCCAAGTTTGAAAGGAAAATGACGCCATTATGATTGAACCTGTATTTGATGGTAAGTTGCTGACAAAGACCAACAGAAAGATGACAAAATAGTGTAAGAAGTAAAATAAGATGATGAGCGCAAAAAGAGAGCTATTCAAAGCAAATCAAGGATATATAAATAGACCAACAATCACAAGGTCACAAAAAGAGAGAGAGAGAGCGTGAATTATGGGATTGTTAGTTCATGAACTCTACAACGCTTAGTAACTTTATCTCTCTTCCTCCTCTCTTTTTCTAGGAGATGTAGATGCCATGAGACCACTACAAAGTCAACAGTGTTTCGATACTTAGAACTGTAAGCTGATACGACTTGGAAAGAACTCGCCAGGAAAAAGTACGCCATAGTACGCATACCTTCTGGATTGAAGATTGAAGATTCCACCACGAAAAGTCCATGTGGAAAGATACCCCCATGTGGAAAGTGTTCAAAACAACCATTTGGGAAAAGGGCCACTAAAACACGGTAATTTAATTACATTAAGAAACGCACATTGCGTAACCACATATTATATGGCACCCCCGCAATCCATCCAAAACTTCAACTCAAAATGACCCAAAACTTCAACCCATCCTGATATACAGGTTCTTGCTATTTGCTGTAATACATAAAAACCAGAAGTTCAAACAGCGACACCCGCTGGTTGTTAGGATCGCGACAAACAAAAAGAGAGCGGGACGCTATGCGGGTGTGTGTTTTCCAGTGCTTGGTTGCTTTTTTTGATGTGTTTGGACTGTAATAGGTCTAGCATTGGGTATGGTATTGTAATCTGTCCTGGATGCTTCCCACAGAAGTTTGGAGCCTTCTTTTGTTACAACCATTCACGTTTGACCTGTGGTAGCTTGATGCCATTCACCCTTCACCTGGCAATGGTAATGCAGATGATGATAATGCTAATGGCAATGGTGGTGGTAATGCCATTCACCGACCTGTGGGAGCTTGATGCCATGCACCCTGTGATCTGTGGTAATTAACATGGTAATGCCATTAACCCTGTGACCTGGGGGGGCTTGATGCTCATGCTGATGGCACTGGGAATGCTAATGGCAATGCTAATGGTACCGGTAATGGCCATTCACCCTTGCCGTGTGGCAATGCTAATGGCAATGGTAATGCTCATGACAATGGTTATGGAATGCCATTCACCCAGGTCACAAGGTGGGAGGTATGCACCTTGTGACCTGTGGCAGCTTGATTCCATTTACCCTTGACCTGTGGTAATGGGAATCCAAATGGCAATGCTAATTCATGCTAATTCTACTGGTGCTGCTAATGGTACTGGTAATGGTTATTTACCCTTGACATGTGGTGATGCTAATGGCAATGTAAATGCTAATGGCAATGGTGATGGGAGTGCATTCATCAACGTTCAGTACCCTTTCAGGCAAAAACACATGAAATGATGAGGTTTGAAGGTTTGACAAGTCAGAGTGCTGACCGATATGCTCTTGCACCAAGACATCTCCAGATCAAAGTTTACCGCGCTCTTTTCGCGGTGAAAGAATTCTTATCCGATTGGCCAGACCGTGGGTAAGCAAACTTGATGAAAGTGTTAAAGCCTAAAGCACTTACTGTACAGTTTCTGGTGGGTTTATACTCTGTAGCTACTGCAGGTGTATCCGCCATTTTATATAATGGTGCTTCCTTTTTTGCAGACAGAACACCTGCAGGCAGTCCTGTGAGCTTCCACATGTAGAACACCCGGACCACGAGCAATGTCACCGACCCCCTTTCTGCTTGAACAAATATACTGGTAAGTTTTGAAGATGAGCAGCACTGTGCTATCAGAATTCCAAGTGTAGCCCTGTGCCTAAACTGTTTCTGAACAATCCAGAACAAAGCATACATTGTCTGCCCTGCTGCATTGGCTTGACCCCGCAGCGGTCCTTGCCGGACCACCTCACACCCCTCATGTCATTCACCTGCTGATGATCTGCTTGACGAGCTCTTTTAGTTTTGCTAGTGTTTCACACGGAAAGATCGAATCTTTCTGCGGAGTTCACCCAAAACTATTCGCTTGTCAGGCTTTCTTGATAAAGCTTTATTATGAATATTACTACAGTATATAATATATCGAAATATTGGTACATATGTTACCTGAACCTGAGCAGTACGCCACCAAGCCTTTTTTTTTGGGCAAACGGCAGATCCAAAGCGGAACGTCTTGAAAACGCTGAAGCAAACGGAGGTCCTTGGGAACCCAAAGTTCCAAAGTTTCTGTCGATGGTTTCACGGTGTGGACAGGGCGGCCCAAAAGCACGCTTTGACGGACTTTCTGGTCATAGCATCGTTAGAAGTTATAATTCGTTTATAACTTATAACGCCAGGCGGTGGTGTCTTCGTGTGATTTCCTGCGTTCTTGTTGTTGATGATCCAGATGTGCTCTTACTGCCTGCGCCTGCCTTTGCCTGCCTTTGGCCCAACCCTTCTGACCCTGGGTCGCATGCGAGACCGCCTGGTGAACCCATGGTCCCGCGATCACGCGAAACACAAAAACCTAAAAAAAAAACACAGAAAGACGATACATTGAAAGGGCGACTACAGTCTACAAATGCCTGCCGTCAATTGGCATAGTGAATATGGACCCTGGAGCAGGAAAAATCATCTGTCCATAGGCCACCTGCTCACCTCGCGGCTGTCCCCTGCTCTTTGGGAAATCGTTTGGTCTTGATAGATTGGCTATCCCAGCTCATATGTGTCCTGGATGGTCCTGCTGCAGCTTTGTTCTGCTTTCTTCGGCCACCGGCTGTTTTGTACCGCTGTTCCTGTGTTGACGCTTGTGGGACTATGAAGACTGCATGTGCAAGCACGTGTTTACAAGACCTTTCTCCAGCCATCTCCATGCCCCTCGTCTTGAGCGTCTAAACATCCTCAGAGCCACACCGATTTATTCGAACGACTTCGCTGCTTCGCCATGCTTCGCCATGCCTCGCGTTCAGGTGCCTGGCCTCGTCATCCAAGTAGAGGATCTCGAATCGGCCAAAGGGCAAGGTCAGCCTGGCAGACCGAGACTGACGGCGAGGTGGGTGAATTGCAAGAAGACAACCAGGACAAGCAGCAAACCACCATGTATACAAGAGTCAGACTGAGTCCAAATGCTGGTTCTTGGTTTTCTTGCTGTTTGGTAACTTGCTTGCTGCTTTCTCTACTCACAAACGAAATTGGGGTTCTCTGCAGGCAGCATGCTTGCTTGCACCTGGCTGGGTAACTGCATGGTTGCTTTGCTTTGCCCTCAATATCAAGAGTAAAATCATCATTCATCATGTAGGATGGGCATTTGTAGATGGTTGACGCTGGGTACCTTGCCAGCGGAGGATGCTTGTGATGATACTAACCACTAAAGGATATTAAAGGCTTCTTCGGACATGTGTCGTTGCACAGAAGAGTTATGCCTGGCCGGACCATGAAACTCTCCCAGCAACAGCAAGAGCAACAATGGCCAAGCTCAACAAGCCGACAACAGAATCTGTGAAGTCAATGTGCATTCTAATTCTGAGGCCTCTCAACTTCCGATCCCATGGTAGGAAAGTCCATTGAAAGACGATTCGCTGACTACTGACATGCCCCCTACTTATCTCCTCGAAACTCCAACCACTGGGACATTCCTTAAACAGTAACAGGTCCGCATCACCCTTCCTGGGCCTCCCACTGGGCCTCCCTGCGGACCTTTAAGGTTCACATTCCAGACCTCGAGTTGCTGTGTTCAAAGAAAAAAAAGGGAGGATTGTAAGTTTGGAAACGCCCCCCAGTTGGACTGCTGGGAAATGCTGGGAAAAAGGGTTGTAAGTTGTATATAACCTGTCATCTACTTAGCATGGGAAATGCTGGGCGTGTGATGGGTGAGATGGGTGACGCATCGACCGGACAACGATGCTCCCGGACGATGCTCCCTACCGTGTCTAGAAGCTGAGCTCGTCCCTTCACTGTCCCCCAGTGAAGACCTTTGATGATAAAGGCCCAAAAGTACTTGAATCAAAAAAATGGGGTGCCGCAGCTCGACAAGATGACAAGTAACCACCTTTTTTGGGACACAAAAAGCATTAAAAAACAAACCTCTCCCATTTCTCAGGCCCTCCAGGGGCTCATGTCTTGCAACTGGTGGCGGCCAACCATCTTTTTCTTCGCATGTCGCATCAGCTGCATCTTGCGCTTCGGACAAGCCTGTGATCGAAGCAGAGTGTCCAAATTGGGTTATGCAAGCGGCTCAAAACCACCGGTGGTCACAAAAGAATACAAAAGATAGCAGAACACGTGGACCACTATCAACTCTGCCTGGTGGTTTCAACTCAATTGAAATATTAGTCAGTTGGCTTAATCATCCCAAGTAGAGGTCTTATTAACAATTATCTGAAACCACCACCACCGAGACCGCTTTGCAATGCACTTTGCAAGCAAATAACAACAAAATATCCAATATCCGGCAAGTAGCTAGGGGGACTAGCGCTTGCGGCGAAACTCCCGCTTCACTCATCGACCATCCACTATACCAACGAATCGGGGGCGCATCTTCGCAAGCGGATGCAAGTGGTTCAACAATGTTCAAAAGATCCGAAAGAAAGTGAGCGACTCTGAGTGAGAGGCCCTTTCATCAAGTGAGTCACTCTGAGTGACCGTGCAAAAAAGAAGGTCTCGATGAACGATATGAACGGTCTCGTCAGCCCGGGTGTTTGGCCCACCTGAGCACCTGGTGTTTGTAGATTTCCATGGCATCTTCGGCAGTTTTTGTTTAAACAAAAATGGAAAAACGTGTCAGCACATGAGGCTTCGCTGGATCGAATGATGGAGCACCCAAAACACCCAGCTTAACCCTCTATTTTTCGTAGCTACCTGAACAAACATGCTAGATGGTTCGCCTAGACCTGCCTCAACCCACGTTCATCACCCCCCTTCAGGGCTTTGGCGAGGTTCTTCAGCGCGGTGCACAACCAAGTGGAAATATCCTCCAATCAGTGTCTTGGTATCTAGAATCTCGAGTTGAGCACATCGTGGACTGCCAATGGCAAAACTCTGACAGCCATAGCTCGTGTCTCCCACCAAAGTTACAGAATTGCAAAGTCCTCAACCTAAGCCCTAATTAAGGCTGCCCAGCCCACCAACCGGCAGTCAGGTTCCAAGAGTTTCCTCCAGTGGGGAAGATTATCAACTTGGGATCCATGTCCCTTCTTTCTCAGCCAAGGTTCTTCGGGCGAGCTGCTGCTTCTGCTCCCAAGTCCTTGCCGTTGCAACCCACCCCATGTCCGCCTGGGATTCGCCGCTACCAACTCGAGATGAAGGAACGTCCCAGAGTGACTGGGACTATGGATGACTATGGAACAAGCCGTAGCCCGGCATTGACCAGAAAATGATCTGGAAATTGAGGACAAATGGGTGGAATCCTCAAATGGGTGGGATCCTCAATTATTGCTGCAAGCAAATTGCCTGGGAGGCCCAGGAAGAAGCATGGGGCATTGGAGGGGGTGCTTCTTCGCTTCTTACGAAACCTGTTTGTTTTCGCTTCAAAGCCTTCGACTCGAGCGAAATCTCTTCTCGGTGTCCAATGGATCGCGCATGCCCCTAAGATGTTTGTTCTAGAAAGCTGATCCCTTTCGCCTTCCGCCTCACAGAACCTTGGTGTTCATGATGGGTGCCAAGCATGTGGAGATCCATAGGCATATATGCCCATTCTACCCTGGAATAGCCTCCCAAATCAAAATTAACTTGTCTGGCTTTCAGACACCCCACTTCATGCTGCAGTCCTCCTGGGTAGGGACGGACTTTCCATCAAGTTGGACAAGCCAAACTGCATGGCGATCCTCAAGGAAACGCAGGACGGTTGTGGGGATTCTGTGGTTTCAAAGGGATCTTTCTTTGCGTGTCGGTTTCAATTTCAAGCAAGGGAGTGGCTTGGTGGGCAGGTTTATGTGGGAGGCTTTGACCATCAGAATCAAACTTTCCTGGGGAAAAACAGTCATTTTGCATGTGCGGCTGAAACCATGCGCCGAGATTCGGGCACAAAGCAACACTCGGGCAAGCAACCGGCATAGCAAACATGATTTTAATCAACATGACATGTGACATGGGCAAAAAACAATTACAGTGCTGCAACGGGGTATCAGTTAAACTTTGGACACAGGGAAGAAGGCATTGGGCCAAAAAAAAGCTCGGGCAGCTTAACTGTCCACTGCAAAAGTTATGCCTGTTCAATCTGGGACTGAAATTCTTACCTGACGATTCCCTAGGGATACGACTTCTCAATAGACTCTAGACATAAAGGCACACATATAGCCTGGATTCACAGAACTCATGCATGTTTCTTCAGCTCTCTTCTTATTTTTCTTCTTTATATTTTTCAGTATTTTTCTTCTTTTTCTTCTTCTTCGAACCAACCTCATCTTGCCTGCTAAGCATCGCAAAGCGCTGGCCGCTCTTCAAAGCTTCCAGGCCATGATATAGGCCGCTCCGAAAGATCACCACGTCGCCCTTGAACAGCTCCTCACCGAGAGGCTCAGTTCCTCGTCACAGGTGGAACGAGGTTTCCGGATGTTGACGCCTTTTTGGTGAAGTCTCAACGGTTTCCATCGATTTCCCGAAAATACAGGGATGTAGTGAATTCAAACATATGCTTTGCAAAAGAGCGTCTTCTCATGGTGGAACTTCCGACCAAACAAAGACTGATCCAGAATAGGACAGAACCCCGAGACGGCCAATTGGCAGTTTAACAAAACCCCTCTGACTCTGCCACTGTCCAGTAAATCGGAGCTTGCTGATACCACCAATATGATCACGCTTTGGAGTAATTGCAGGGATTGCTTCTTTCTTGTTGTTGCCTAGTATTCAAAAACAAGAGAACTCCAAAATGTTGCCTGCTCTATATAGTTGGATCTTCGCTTCTTCAAAGAAAGATATCAATGGGCAGCATTGATAAACTTCTACTTAAACTTCTCAGGAACATGCCTTTCAGAGGGGGTCAAAACCCTTTCCCCACACCCCATGGCTTCCATGTACATTTTAACCTTGCATTCTTGGAGGACGTTTGCCTACCACTGCATGGAAGGTCTACGTTTGGGACTGACATTTAACCTGATTTATTCCCAATCATTTTTATAAGAGAATTAAATACAATGAATGGGGGAGAAAGCCAATAATATAATATGGTATTTTTCATGTGGCTTTCTCCATTATATTACTGTACATATTCAAGGGGCGTTTCTTCTCTACACTCCTGACAATACTGTCGTCCAACATCTTTCTTGCCCGGCTGAACGAAGAACTCGCCACCCTCGTAGTCTTCGCCTGGTCCCGGAGTGGAGGGGTGATCCCATGCCATCATCCCAGGATCATCCAGGATCCAGTTCTGACGGATCGACACAACTGTCCCTGGATCCCCCAAAAAAAAAACAACCCACAGACCTCAGGTTTGGTGCTTGGGCTTTGGAGAATGAAGCTACCTTCTGAACTGAAGGGATCTACGACGGATCCATGGGGCACATGCAAAGGATGCCAGTGTCGCATTAACTCCACGGCTCCCGAGTCCGCTGTCTTCAGTCACCTGCATAAGTTAGTGGCCGAAACATCCACTGCGCCTGGGTTGCTCAGGGGGCACATGGCCTGCCACGGGAACATGATCGATCCTCAGCTGGCGAAAGCTGGATAGGGAGTTCGTCGAGAAAAGAGAGTACAGTCGTAGAAGTTCTTCTGCGTGCGTGTTTTTGAAAATAGAAAACAGGCCCATCCGGTCCACGATCCTGCTTGCAAACATTGGGGGAAGAAACACATATTTGGTTGATGGATGGGTAGGTGGACCCGATGGGTAGATGGTACCAAGCCAAGAACGTTGCAGATCTCGGTGCGCCTCCATGAACCCGCTGGGGCAGTACCTGACCCGACCCGGGACTCGTCGCTGCATCCGGACGCCCACCGGAAGACGGTGCCTCTGAGGCGAAAACATGATTACAAAACACAAACATTACCAAACTGATTGTTCCCTACAGTGTTTCCTGTAGGGGTGTCCAATTAGAGACCCTATTCAAGTAGGGGAAGCATCAATAATAATAGGGAGTGATATGTGTGTGTGTGTGTGCAAAATTAAATAGAGCAATGTGTTCCATTGTTTTCCACTAGTTCTTGACTTTCTTCCTTTTTCCCCTCCCAGAAATGCCCCTGATGTGTTCAAATCTCTCAGAATATGCGCCCGCCTGAGGCAAATGGAAGTCGGCAGCCGCTGTGGCGGCTTGGCTGAGCGGCAGATCTCCCAGAAGTCGCTCATCCTTGTTGCGGCAGATCGCCATAGGGATTCATTTGACCAGGCATCCCGTCACAAAAGCTATCTCAACAAGGACATCCACGTGTCCCAGTCAGTTCGAACGGAAACAATAGCCGTCTCAGGGGATGCGTAGATCTCTACAGTTACAAAGCACTGCCCAATGCTTAGAAGAATGGACCAGGCGGTGAACAAATGGGTTGAAACGGTGCGTCGTCAATTTCGATGCCAGTGCTCGAGCCCAACAGGATAGGGCGACTATGAAAATTGGTCCAGCACCACCCACTTTGGGTAGTTATTGAATGGAACATATATGAAAATACATGGTCTGGGGGTCTTGACTTCTTCAGTTTCCCTGAACAATAAAGGTTAACCTTGTTCCACTTGTTCATCGTTAGTGGGGGACCCAATCCCCAAAACAGATTTAAAAAAATAGAGTCGATTAAAGC